TGTAAATGTTAGACCGGGGTCCATCAGTTTGAAGAAGAAAATAAGCAAAGGAAACAACGGAAGGAGGGAGAAAGAAGAAAGGGTAAAGGAGGGGAAGTAAGAGTAGGAGAGAGGGTAAGAGGGAGAAGAAAGGAGGGGGAGAGGGAAGGAAAGGAGGAAAGAAGAAGGTAGAGAAAGGAGGTTGGGAAGAAAGAATGAGTAGGGTTGTTGCAAAATACAATGGATGTACGGGGCGGAAAGAAAGCGACCCCAATTACACTTTTTATATCTTTAAACACTGTGATAAATACTAGAAGATAACAAATATTAAGAGTACTCATGAGGATGTGCATTTGTGAATGTATATGGAAAGGAAAAAATAAAACTTTACAAAAAAAAAGATTTGACAAGCTCTGCCCCATCTTCCTTCTTGAGCACCATGCAGATCCTGCATTTAGCTTCTGTAATGCCTCTCTCTCCTTCTATGGCACGGATGGCAAACCTTTTCAGCACCGAGTGCCCAAACCAGAACGCCCATGCATCGTGAGTGCGCGGGCCAAAAACCCAAAGACCAGCTGGTTGGCCCGCCCATACCTATTTTTTGCCCGTTTTTGTCCTGAAAACGGCCCAAAAACCGATTTGTTTTTTGGCTGTTTCAGGCCCCTGTGAAGACCAGCTGGCCAGCAGGCAAATCAAAAGAGCAGCTGGCGATGGTGTGCTTGCCCTCTGCGTGGCAACTCTGGCACCTGTGCCATAGGCTCCCCATCACGCTGCTGGCAGATCTTGCAGTGCCCATTTCCTAAAATCGATAACCAGCCGCATGCTTAATTTTCAAGAAATGAAAAAATAAAATGTAAGATGGTTAATTGTTAATAGCAGCATTCCAGTATTTGAGGGGTTGTCACAGAGAAGGGGGGGGGGGCTCAACCTATACTCCAAAGCATCAGATGGCGGGACAAGAAGCAATGGGTGGAAACTAACCAAGGAGAGAAGCAACTTAGAACTGAGCAGAAATTTCCTGACAGTGAGAACAATTAATCAGTGGAACAGAAGTTGCCTCCAGAAGTTGTGAATGCCCCAACACTGGAAGTCTTTAAGAAGATGTTGGATAGCCATCTGTCTAAAATGGCGTAGGGCAGAGCTGCCAAACTCATAGCTTGCGGGTTGGATGTGTCACGCGCTGGCCACGCCCACGCCCTGCAAAGCTGGATCTCAGTATATCCGCGTACAGCCTGATGTTCCCCCTTCTCTTGGGCCCTCCACTCCCCCTTGGCCAGTGCGTGGTGTCCGTTCGTACTTGAATTTGGTGTTTTGGTAAGCAGGCTGACGAGATTTGTTCGTCGGTATCCCATCCAATGCGGGACCTTTCCTTGAGTTTGCTTTGTTGTGTTTTAAACACAAGTGGGACTCTCCAGGGCCAGGGATTAACGACACCGGTACAAGGTATTTCTACATCTTAATGCGTGGCTGATTTGCCCGATAATACGCACTCAATGCATAAGCCACAAAGGAGCCTGAATTCATTGCTATTAACCTTTGAGGTCAGCGTGACTAATCTACTCTTGATTCCATCTATTTTTCATCCCATCTCAGTTCATTATTGTTTCATTAGTGCAGGGATGCGTCTCGTTAAAAATAGTCCTTCCTCCAGAATGATAAAACGGTTGCTCTGTTGAGTTAAAAGAATTCACTCTTCCTTGCTGAATAACCATTAACCCTCCGTGTTTGGCCTCTTGTTTCTTTGCATGGACTTTGTGTCTTAAAATGTCACTGAAGAATAAGATCAGTACCAGGCGGGTAATGAGCAAACACCGCACTCACTTAGCACTGATGATGTTATCTAGTCAGGTAATGGAACATCTTGCAAGCACAGAACCAAGCTCAGAGGGTACCAAGGGTTCCAGGGCACTGAAAACACAACAGCAAAGTTGGAAGGGAACACGGAGGTCTTCTAGTCCAGCCTCCTGCTGAAGCAGGAAACCTTATATACCATTTCAGACAAATGGCTGTCCAGTCTCTTCTTGAAAAGCCACCATTGATGGATCACCCACAGCTTTGGGAGGCAAGTTGTTCCACTGTTGGATTGTTCTCCCTGTCAGGAAATTTCTCCTTATTCCTAGGTTGCTCCTCTCCTCGATGCGCTTCCATCCATTGCTCCTTGGTTTTGTTTTCAGGCGCTTTGGAAAATAGCTTGACCCCTTTCTCTCTGTGGCAGCCCCTACATATTGCAACACTGCTGTCGTGTCAATTTCCAAAGATTCCACAGAGCCCTGTGGCTGCATACAGACATCATACTAACTGGAATTCCACGTTGCAGTAAAGTTAGACTTCTAAACTTTGGATTACACATACTGACCCAAGCTGACCCATTCCATCTTTCTGAAGGCTGGCAGAGGAAATTGAAAATTTCTGCTTTAACATAGCACTGTCTGAATCTGGACATCCAGAGCAGTAATTTCATTGAACTCTACTGTCTAGTAAAGTATTAATGCAGTACCCGTGGTTTTCAATTCAGTTGTATAGAATGTGAAGGGTGTTTGTGTGTGTTTGTTTTATTTTTATATTTTTCTTATGTATGATGTACACTGAAGAGGGCATTTAATTGTGTCGTACAAGGTGCAATGACAAGAAAGTAAACTGACTTACTAACGTACTACAGCTAGTTAAGCCGTATCTAGTGCATTCTGCATCCCACCTTGAAAATAACTACTTGTTGACATAATAAAAGTGGACTATAAGTGTAACCTTTAAGAAAAGTTTATATGGAAGTTCAACTCTAAAACTTAGTAGCACGGAGAGCTGTTAAGAAGGGCTTTTTCAGAGTTTGTTGCAGAAATCAAATCCCGAAAGCACACAGAGGTAACTGATTCAGCAGGATTGATTTAAATAAGAAACTTCTTTATAGGCAATAATATATACAGTACCAAGAGTGGTTCTTCCAACTTGCAACAGGAGAGATTGTAAGTAGGTACAAACACACACAGGAAGAGGAGAAATTGGTTTCTGTTTCAGTTCAGCAGCAGACCAGTTTAGTTCCTTTTGCACAGACTCAGAGTTACAGAGCTAAACCACGCCCAGGCTCCAAACTCTTTCAGTTTCCCAACAGCCCTCATTGGCTGCCTTAGTTGCTATGCCTATTCATTGGCTGACCTTGTTACCATGTCTTCTCGATCATGAACTCTCATACACACTCACATTCTTGAGTCAGAGTTTTTACTTCTCAAAGGTGCCAAAATGGGATGTCGAAACCAGCATCCAATATTCGTGTAACAAATCTTTTTTTTCCCTCCCCTCCCTAAAGGTACGACTGGTACCAGACCGATTCTCACGTCATTGTAACCATCATGATCAAACATGCGAAGCAAGATGATGTAAACATAACATTCTCGGAGAAAGAGGTAATATAGGAACCCAATTTTGAGGCTCAGAACTGGAGAAAGGTTGTTTTTGCAGGCTAGGAGAGGAGGAAAGGATGTTTTAGATGTTGCTATGATATTCTGTGGTTCTCTTGCCAGTATTTAATTGCAAAAAAAAAAAAAAAGGTTTCGTTACCGGTATTGTATATTTTGAGGGTTTTACAAATTGCTTTTTTATATAGTAACTTGAAGGACTGAAAACATAACACTGGAAAAAGAAATTATCGTTTCTCAGTTTACTTACTTTACATACTTGTAACTGTTGTAACTGTTGCTACATTTTAATCTAAATTGTATGTAAACATTTCCTAACAATCTGACCTTTTTATCCAGAAATAACTCTTCTGATGCCTAAGAATATACATCTTCGGTTGATTTCCTATCCGCTTTCTTTTGAAATTCTTATGCCTGAATACATTAAATGTTTCCAGGGAAGATTATTTGAATTCATTGTTTCTGAATAGGTAAAATGAAGATTAACTAATTGCTGGATTCTGATGTGTTGTCTGTCTCAACAGCTAAATGCTTCACTGAAGCTTTCCTCCGAGGAGAACTACAAGCTAAAGCTTCATCTTCTTCATTCCATAGTCCCAGAGCAAAGTTTATTTAAAGTTCTTTCAACCAAGGTAATTTTTTTTAAAAGTGATTTTGCCACTTCCAGTTCACATGGTTATCCTGCCTAAAGTGGACAAGGGCATTTCTTGTCATTCTTGTCCTTCTCTAGGAAAGCACATGTCCACCCAAGTAAACCACTATTACTTGTCACTTTCTAAGAAAATCTGATTCTTAGGCATGTTTGGAAATAAGGAACACCCTAGAGCAGTGATGGCTCTGCGTGCCACCTCTGGCACATGTGTTCACCATCATGGCCCTAGAGTTTACAGCAATCTGTCCTTCCAAGCCTGAACAGCGTGGAAATAATTCCAATAAGATAATTCCGGAGCTTTTGATTTGCTGGCAGAGAAACGTGGAGGCTCACAGTAGTTGAAGTGACATCTGCCCCTCCCAGGAGTTCCTTGAGAAGGACTTGATAGATGGAGAAAAATGCCACATCCAGTGTGAACATCCGGCTGACTGCAATGAAACATAATCAGTACCATTTTCTGAAGACCCTCCTTATTTTGAACAGCATTAAATGACAGTTTGCAAATTGAAGACTGTCTACCATATTTTTCGGAGTATAAGACGCTCCGAAGTATAAGATGCACCTAGCTTTTGGGGAGGAGAACAAGGGGGAAAAATCTGCCTCCCAGAAATTTGCCTCCTTGCAGGAAACAGCAAACAGTACAGACAATATACACCAGTGTTTTTCAACCTTGGCAACTTGAAGATGTCTGGACTTCAACTCCCAGAATTCCCCAGCCAGCATTCGCTGGCTGGGGAATTCTAGGNGTTGGGGGCAATATGCTGACTCTCTGTAAACCGCTTAGAGAGGCCTGAAAGGCCTATGAAGCGGTATATAAGTCTACTGCTATTATTGCTATATTGTGCTTCAGTGGAATTTTGAGTTAATCCCTGATTTAAATGAACTTTTAGGAGAATTTATAAAATGTATCACACATATTAACAGTAATACAGATAAAGAGAAAAACACCATACTAAAAATAATAACAAGCACAGTTCACTTTACTGAAGAAACACATTCATACACATTAAATCTGGAAGGATTTTCTTGTTTACAGAGCTAGAAAACAGTTTTGGTGACTTAGATGTAGTGTTTAGGGATACTGCAATTTAGAAAATCATCTAAAATTGGAATTGAATCTAATTATATGGGCAACATTCAAATATAAATGTTGAAACAAAATATCTACTTGCCTGAAACACTCAGGGCAAGTTAATATATTCTGAGTTGATTTACCAATCAAATGTTAATTACGTGCCACCAAATCTATGTTGAATCTTGAGTGGACCACATGGATTTTCTTCAGGAAGATCTCTCTTCAACTTGGCCTTTTAACCAGATCGAAGGTGCATTCACTGTTGTAACCATCTTGCTGCTGGTTGTTTACTTTCTTTCTTTCTTTCTTTCTCTTTCTTTCTTTCTCTTTCTTCTTTTCCAATTAAAGACTGGGTCATCAAACAGCAACTCTACTTCAATGGGTAAATCTTGATCAACAGATCAAATAGGACTTTCCAACTAAAATAGCATCATCTCCTGTCTTTTTTCCAAGAAATATGTCCTTGCCTTGACATTTAGTAAAATTTATTTCCCATTGGAAAAATGGGGAAAAGGAAAAAGGGATGTGCCAGTTGACCCTTCCCCTTTTTCAACTTACCGTAGCTAACATCTGTAAATATTTAGAAGGCAGCTATAATCCTTTCATGAATATATTTAGTTAAAAGATGTTTTCCAGTTGGCATTCAAAATAATGAAACCTATTTTGTTTATCTAGACTAAAACATTTTATTTGGCTCATCCCGAGGTTGAACTAACTCCATCCAACCAAACAGGATAGAATCTTTCACGCTGGAAGTTACTTAAATTTCTAAAATGAAAGCAAAGTCTTAAGAGATGCAGCAAAACTGGGCCTTCTCGAAGAATGCTGTCTCTGTGTCCTTTTCCATTTCCATACGCTTCTTCAGCAGCACAGATAGGTGATATAAATTAATCCAAGTTAATGTGGGCAGGAGGCAGAGAATCTCCCTGAAATTGTCCATGGCAATTCCATCATGAATCAAGCAGTATGCATATATATTTTTTCTTTCAAAAAAGTATTTTGTTTGGATTAAAAAAAGAAAGTGAGGCAGGAAGCAGAAGCCTCCCTCCCTTCTTTGTGGCAGCTGGGGGAATGGCTGAAATGGCCATGATTATGCAGACCCAGTCATCTGTGATTACAAACTACTAACATACAGTTTGAGACCTACAGACAGCAATATGTTTAGGTTACGCATTTGCATTTTTGAGGTCCCTGAGGCTTCTCTGGACATACATCATCCTTCTTGTTTTCTAAGTGTTAGTCTCCTAAAACTGCTGGAGTCACCAACCTCTACATTTAAAAATACTGGAGGGCTGTAGGTATTGTGAGAGGATGAAAAAAGTTTTTAAAATCCTTATTTTTGTGACATTAACAACATTCTTTCCACTTCTTTATCTACAGTCTCCTATTAAGCACAGAAAGATGGCAAAATTATTTCACCGCTGCAATAAAATACTTGTTTAAAAAGAAACCACCATAAAGAGGAAAACATTTAAATTATACATCTGCAATTCCAAGAAACGCCGTAAAAAAGATTTACATCACTACAGAACTAACAAGACTACAATAAACCTGAAACAAGTCTTAAGTAACTTTTGAGAACTTTCAGAGACAAGTTGGTTGAATGAGAGGTCCACTTAAGAGATCAGAAAAAACTGTTGACATTTTATGAACTGGTGTCAGATTAAGACCGGCTCATGAGTAAGCCTCTCCCGAAGAGGTTTCAACCCTAGTAGATAATAAAACCTTTCCCATCTGGAAGAAAATCTCAAGATTGTTGGATGGTGAAAGTTGCAGGAACAAGAATATAATTCAGATTTTTCTCCTTCTACCCAAAGGATGTCATTTGAACAAGTCTGCCAATTACCAGCCACGGGTTTGGTTTAATCCTAAGAGATTTTGGATGGGATCCTGTTTAAGCTTTTCTCTTATCTTGAGCAGGCTCCAGAAGATCTTTGAAAATGAACATAAGGAAGTTATTATACTTCATCAAAGCACATTAAATGCAATGGGGAGGAGAAAAGGCAACAGTAGAAGCCACATAGATATCACAGACATCATTTGCATGATAATGCCAATGGGCGTGGCATTTCTTGCTCCACCCATAAATATCCGTGGAAAGATGAATCCTTTCAAATTCTTATTCATGTCTGAGTTGATATCTCATATCACACATCTGTCATACAGAACCTTCTAGAAGCCTTTCTGGGTGAGATCCCAGATCAATAACAGAATGTAATTACTCTCTGCAGTTCTGTTATGGGTGGCTTCCAGTTGACTATCTCATTCTCCACTGCATTGTTTAAGATACAAATATTATCGATATCAACCAATCATCAGGGTTAAAAATGATTGAAGCTGTAATTATTTTTCAATTATAACCTCAGTTTCCTTCCAGATGTTGCCAGGAGAGAGGATTACAATGATTCTCTGTTCTTCCATTATGTCTCTTGGTTCAGCCCCAGATACCAAAAGAGACAATATTTATCACCGGTTTCCGGACCAAATAAAGGAGATTAAACAATTGTCAGGATACAAATAGGAGCTCTCAAAGGGAGCTGAAGTTTCTCTAACCACATCTCCATTTTGGCTGGATGCCGTGTGGGTGGTGGTTTCATGCTGAGTAAGTTGCTCACTGTACTTAAAGTCCTTGCCACACACTAAGCATTGGAATGGGTTCTCATCAGCATGGGTTCTTTGATGTGAAGTCAATTGGTGCCTAAGGGCAAAGCGCTTCCTACACTCCAGACATTCATAGGGTTTCTCTCCTGTATGGATTCTCTGGTGCTTATAAAAGTTCCCACTCATCCGGAAACTCTTCCCGCATTCCATGCAGGTGTAAGGTTTTTCTCCTGTGTGGATCGTCTGATGTTTATAAAGGTTGCTTCTCTTGCTGAAGTTCTTCCCGCACTCCAAGCATTGATATGGCTTCTCCCCTGTATGGATCCGCTTATGGGCTGTGAGGTTACTGCTCTTGCTGAAGCTCTTCCCACACTCGAGGCATTTATAGGGTTTCTCCCCTGTATGAGTTCTCTGGTGGGTATTTAGACTTCCGCTATTGCTGAAGCGCCTTCCACACTCTGTGCATTTGTACGGTTTCTCACCGGTGTGGATACTTCGGTGTTGGGCAAGATGCTGGCTGCGGCTGAAGCACTTCCCACAGTCGGCACATTGAAAGGGTTTCTCCCCTGTGTGGACGCTTCTGTGTTGAATGAGATGCTGGCTGCGGCTGAAGCACTTCCCGCAGTCCATGCATTCGTAAGGTTTTTCCCCAGTATGAGTTCTTTGATGGACTGTCAGGCTGAAGTTCTGCGTGAAACTCTTTCCACACTCCAAGCACTTATACGACTTTTTCCCCGCATGAGTCCTCTGGTGAGAAAGCAGGTGGCTGCTCATACTAAAGCTTTTTCCACATTCAGAGCATTTGTAGGGTTTCTCCCCTGTGCATGGACTTGAAAGCAAATTATGATTGAGGTATTTCAGAGAGGGCTCCATGCACTTCCTGTTTTTCTGGCCACCGCCTGCTGGAGAGAGAGAAAAAAATAGAAATTTAAAGCAAAAATGGAGACGATCATTAGAGAATCTTCTTAGCTGCATCTATATTTCTGCATTTTCATGCTTCTTGCAGCTTTTTTAGGTTTGTTATTTTACAGTGCTTGTATCCTACACACATATAGCTTTCGGGCAGCGGACAAGAATAAAAAATGCATAATATGGAGAATAGCCAGGGATTAGAATCAGAGTAGAGATGGAAACAACTTTGGAGGTCTTCTAGTCCAGCCCCCTGCTCAAGCAGGAGATCCTATACCATTTCAGACAAGTGACTGTCTAGTTTCTTCTTAAAAACCTCAACCACCCATAACTTCTGGTGGCAAGCTGCTCCACTGGTTAATTGTCATCACTAATAGGAAGTCTGTCCCTAATTCTAGGTTGCTTCTCTCTTTGATTAGTTCCCATTCTTTGTTTCTTGCCCGGACCTCTGGTGCTTTGGAAAATAAATCAATCCCTCCTTTGTGGCAGCCCCTCAAATAATGGAACATTGCTATTATGAACCCCCCCCCCCAAGTCCTCCTTTTCTTTAACTGGCCAAACCCAAGTCCCACAACAGTTCTTCATATGTTTTAGTCTCCAGACCTTTAAACGTCTTGGTTGCGATTTGCACTTTTTCCAAAGCCTCAACATCTTTTTTGTAATGTCACCAAAACTGGATGCAGTATTCCAAGTGTGGTCTTACTAAGACTTTACAAAGCTGCACTAATACTTCGTGTGATTGTGAGTCTATGCCTCTGTTTATACTACCAAAGATTGTATTAGGTTTTTTTGCTACTGTCGCATGCCACTGATTTCCCAAGGTCTCTCTCACAGTTACTGTTTCTGAGCCAGGCTTCTCCTAATCTGTACATATACCTTTGTTTTTTCCTGACCAGATGTAAAACCTTGCTTTTCTCCACATTAAATTTCATTTTGTTGGATAGGGCCCATTGTTCAAGTCTGTCAAGATCTTTTTAGATCTTCAATTATTATTGATTATAGATTATTGCATTCATAATCACATCAGGAGCCGAGGTGGCGCAGTGGTTAGGGTGCAGTACTGCAGGCCACTTCAGCTGACTGTTATCTGATTTGNACTCCACGTGCCACCTGTGGCACGCGGGCATAGGTTCGCCATCACGGCTCTATACCATTTCAGACAATTGGCTGTCTAATCGATCCTGATCTTTATTTTCTTGGCCTTCTCTTGCACGGTATGAATGGATGCTTTTGCTTGTATCACTTCTGCCTAGTAGAGGATCCTGTTCCTGGGCAGATGAGATGGCTTTCACCCAGTGGTGGGTTCCGGATCCCATTCCAAACGGTACGGTTGGAACAGGCCCAGCGGCGTCCACATGGACGCGTGCAGTGTGAGCGCACACGTGTGCAAGCACACGCGTGCTTCTTACTGCTTCTGCAAGTCTCCATGATGCTCCAGCTGCTCAGAGGAGCGTCGCGCAGGCACTGTACGTGCCATGCACATGCGTGGAAGCGCCAAAGACTTAAAAGACCGATAAGGAGCACGGGTTGGGCAGGCAGGCCCTCCGGAGCACTGTACCGGTATCCGATGCTCCGGGCAGGCTCCAGTGCGCCCGTACCGGTGCGTACCGTCTGCCACCCCCTACTGCTTTCATCCCTTGGATGACCCAGCTGGGTATATAAAGCATACAGTTTTGGCATATTCTATCCCTGCATTTGCTCTCTTGCATTTGCTGCAAGACAGCGCCACCAGGGGGCGCACTCTGCAAAAGCAATCTCATCTCCTGAAGTCAAGTGAGCATGCCCAGAAGAGCGGGTGGGGGGGAGGGAGGGAGCAATGTGTATCCTGGCTAGAGTTTTACTTCTCTAGGCAGGGACACTCTCTCTCTTTAACCCTTTAAGTGACGGCGTAAAAAAGAGAAAACAGTAAATGTGGGTTTTTGTCTTCCAAGGTGAAAAAGAAAAAGGCCCATTTTGTGCATTGAATAAGAATCAGGGAACGGCAGGGACAACACAATGCAACACCTAGCATTGCACACCACAAAGGGGATGAGACCCCCTGATGGATTAGACCCCCTGGTGTGTGGAGATACTATGGAGACTCCTGAAGACCAGGAAACTGACAGGGGAAATTCCACGCCTGCAGTCCCAGAGTGAAGGGTCTCCTTTGGTGAACCCCTCCCTCATCTTTTGCTTGAACTCAGGACATAATAAGCTTTTTTTTAAAAAAAACTGTTTTTATTAAACACTTTCAGGGTTTAAAAAAGAATTTAAAAAATGTAAAAACAAATACAAAACAGATAAAAGCACAAACAGCATAACAATATACTTTTACAGCTTCTTGTATCAGCACGTATATTCTGCTTTTGTAGTGTACTATTCCATTATTGCCTTCTAGTCGTTTTTAACAATTCTAATGCTAATGTAATAATTATATTATAATAGTATAATGCATATAGTCAAATTTTACATATATACATTTTTTTTCCATAGTATAATCAATAGTTTTCAAAACTTTTATTTCTTGTTTTGGCTTCTATTCTCTAGCCACTTGTACAGTCTACTCCAAATTTTATAACAGTCCGATTCTTCTCTTTCTTTTAACACTCCATGGTCATCCTGTCCATTTTAGCACGTTCGAGTATCTTCCTAATTACCATATCATCGGGGGTATATGTGTGTAGTTTTTGTTTCCAAATTTGCGCAAAGGTGATCCAAGCAGTGGTTGGTATGCATAAATGTTATATATTGATATAATATCTTATTGCAGTAATGAAACTTGGATGTTTATTTGGTGTGTGACTGGATCAGCCTTCCCCATCAATTCAAAAGCAGATAATGGAACAGAAATAACCAAGACATGATTTTCTAGATATCCTATTGAAAAATGATGTTTAAAGACTGATCAGCCAACGGCCTTCAAATGAAGCTCATACAAGTATGGAAGATCTCTTGCCAATCAAACTCAACTCTTGTTGACTTCATATAGGAGCATCCATGCCGTTTTCTTCGTCCCAGAGTGAAACTGGTTTGTTTACTTTCTTGGAAGAAATGTCCTTCTGGCTTCAGTTCCAAGTGGGGGAAAAGAGACTGGAAACATGGGGGCTGCTTGGAAAGATGGTTTAATGGTGGACAGGATCACATGGCTTGGGTTCCTGGACAGAAAAAGGGGAACACAAGCTTCCAGATGTTGGGTGAAGAAGAAAAGAGAAAGTTCCTGGGTTTTTTATACACTGTTCAGCCCCACTTCTTTGTTTCCTGTTCTTGTATAAGAAATGTATTCAGATTGGTTATTAGACTCCCAGGGGCGGAGCGTGGGCAGTCTTAGCTAACTCTGTAGGTTGTGTGCCTTTTTTGAGCCATAAGCTTGGTTGAGTTCCCAGATGCCATGTGGTAAGTTTCTGTGCAAGGCTAATCCTACCTTTGTTATGTAGACTAGCTGAGGTTTTTTTTTAATGGCTCATTCACAAAGATGGGGGCTATTAAGAGTGAGTCTGTTTCCTGCCTTAAAAATGTTTCTCCATTTCTTATCCAGGGAAATATAATATTCTGCCTTTTCAATAGTTCCCAGGATATTTCATTTTTCTAGGAGAGGGCTGGGTGCTAACTTCCTACAGTTTGTTTCTTTTTTTCTTTTTCTTTTTATATTTTTCTTCTCTTTCTTTCTCTTTCTTTTTNCCAGAAGGACTTGACAGAAAAAAGCAGGTTCAAAGGAGGGCAACACAGGTGATTCAAGAATTACAGGATACACTTTAGGACAGGGGTATTAAACTCGATCAAGTCACGGGGCAGATCGTGACATGATGTTTTTTGCCTTTGTGGAGGTGGCCTGCGTGGGCCGTATGCGGCTGATGGGCTGCCAGTTTGACAGGCCTGGAGAAATGGCTGAAGGTACTTGGGATGACAGAAAGAAGAACGAGGGGAAACAGAGTATCAGGATGGATGACTACCTCTTAAGGATGGTTTTGCTGGTTATCTTGCACGATACAATAGGACAGATTGTTGATCTTGGGAGGGGTTCCCAGCTCCATATTTCTAAGCTAATTTGAATCCTATGAGGTAGGCTCAATTGAGTCTGATCCTTTCAGTACCTGAGCTGGAGTTTCGGTTGTTTTTTCTGCTCCACCGCAAAAACAAGACGTTTCATTGAACATCAGGGAACCGGTTCTTCCCCCTGTGAGGGAGAAAATGTGGGGGGAAATAGACCTTTAAAGCAAGAATACATTCTAGGAAAAGGTGGAGCATCACCTTACTCATGTAGAGTTATTACATAAGGTGGAAGAAGTATCTCCCCGGCATTGCCATGAAACGAAAAATAAAAGCTGGGATTTTTCTTCAGAGGAAGTGTTCCTTTTTACCTGGTAAGATCTCTCCACTTTGAGTCTCCTGAAAGTTCCCACCCAAAACCAGCTCTCCTGGGGGACTGGAGAATTCATTGCTTGTCACCTCCACAAAGGATTCCTCTCCCTGCAACTGTCGACAAAAGTAAAAAGCCAATGTGAGGGGGGACGGAGAACTCACTCGCCATCTGCAATTCTGAAGCCCACCAAGACCAGAAGGGAAAAAGGAGAAGACACATTTCCTCCTAAGGCCCAGGAAGGTGTTGTCCATTTGATATTGTTTTCCCTCAAATGTGTTTGAATATTAGTAGAATATTNAAATTGGAACTTTAAGGATCGTTTTGCCTTGGACTCTGATTTAATTCTACATGATACTTGGTACGCTGACAATAAGTTTGTGGCAGAGAGTTTGAAGTTACTATTAAAGTCATACTAATTTCTATGGTTACTTTTAGGATAAAAATGACCTTGTCTGATTTTGCATTAACTGAAAATTTGTTCAACAATCCCTCTGAATATTTGGTTGAATTAACACTGAAATTATTAAACAAAAGCCCAGTTCCACATTGTAACATCCCATTTATTATCTTCCTCCAGTTTGATGAAGAGTAACCTTTGAACATGTTCCAAGTAAAAGTTTTGAGTCATTACGCGTCCACTTAATTGTCATGCCATTCCAACCACACTAAATTAAATTACTACTCAGAATGTCACCGGTTACTCTGTCAAGTGCTTTGCAGAAACCAAGTTATATTACATCTAAAGCAGTCTCTCAGTCTATTAAAGAAATTCCCCAATCCAAAAACGAGGGAAACATTTGTTTCTAACAAGTCTCTGCTAGAAAACCTCTAATAACCTCATTTTTCAGAGTGCTCACAGATCAATCTTTTACCATCGTTTTACAATCTTCAAAGCACCAATGGGAAGATCTGTAGTTTTTAATCCCTCGGATATGCTGTTAGTTTTGTTCTCATACCAATTTTTTTTTCCTCCACACACTTAAATCACTATGGGCATTTTCTATATCGTCCAACTCTGGATGTGGGTGGACAATTTCAATTCAGCCAAGTTGCAGTTTCTCCCTGCACAGCTTTAATTGCACAGTTGTTGGGTTGTTTTTTTTTTAAACAACTCTGCCAGAAATCACTTCATGGTTCTCGATTTTTGCTCTTTACTTTTCCCAGACATATTAAGACGGGTTTGATTTCAGCTCCTGGAATCCTCTCCTTCCCTCTTTGGAACGGAGGAAAAATATTCTGGTCCCCTTAGTGGGGGATGGGGAAATGGGTGTGGAGCCTTCTTGGAACTGTTGAAAGGACTGTGTTGTAGACTGGAGATAGATTGTGTCAACTTTTCATCCCTCTCCATTCTATAACACAGTCCTTTCAACAGTTCCAAGAAGGCTCCACACCCATTTGCACTACTCAGGTCACCCTGAGGACAGAGATAAACCTCCAGGTGGCCTCAAGGACTCTAAGAATGAAAATGACCAACTGTCTGCAAGGAGTATAAATCCTTCCATTCTCCACCATCCAGTCAGAGCTGAAGAAGCTTCTTAGATGAGAAGTGAAACATCTTCCAAAAAAAAAAAAAACTCCAGCCCTCTTGAAAAAGTACCTTGGAGACAATTGTGATCTAGATGGTTGAGAATTTCTGTAGACACACAGGAAGAGGATGGTGTCAACATTGTCGTCACGTGACATATTGCAACTTTCCCCCCCTTCGCTAAAATGGGGGTGGGCATGGCCACTGCATGACGCATCCAGCCTGCGGGTTGTGAGTTTGACATCCCTGCCCTACACAGAATGTCAAATTTAGTTGATCCCGGCCATTTTTTTGTAATTCGGCTTTACCGCACCCCAATTATCGGTCTCCACCAGAAAAAAAGTTACTGGGGTTATCTGCGAGGTTGATAGATGTATTGTAAAAAGATTAATTTGACTGATGGGTTTTCCAAACTCCATGCATTCAAGCCACTTCTCTTTTATAGACCCTTTTATGGGAAAGAAAGGAACGGCAGACTGGAATTTTTTTTATCACCACTTGATGCATATATACGGCGTCTCTCTTTTATGCCTCTTTTTATGAAGTGTAAAGGAGCTGCTCTGACTGAAGCACTTTCCGCACTCCGTGCATTTGTACGGTTTCTCCCCTGTGTGGATCCTCTTGTGTGATGTCAGAGCCCCATTTTCGCTGAAGCTCTTCCCGCATTCCGTGCATTTGTACGGTTTTTCTCCTGTGTGGATCCTTTTGTGAGATGTCAGGTGCGTACTGGTATTGAAACTCTTCCCGCATTCCACACATTTGTAGGGTTTCTCCCCCGTGTGGATCCTCCTGTGTGCAGCGAAGCTACTGCTCTGACTGAAGCTCTTCCCGCATTCTATGCACTCGTAAGGTTTTTCCCCCGTGTGGATCCTTTTGTGTGCGATGAGATGACTGCTTTCACTGAATCGCTTGCTGCACTCCGGGCACTCATACGGTTTCTCTCCAGTGTGGATCCTTTTATGCGCCGAGAAGCTACTACTCCGACTGAAGCTCTTCCCACAGTCCAGGCATGTATACGGCTTCTCCCCTGTATGGATTCTTTTGTGGGAAGTGAGATTGCTACTCTTACTGAAGATCTTCCCACATTCCAAGCATTTATATGGCTTGCCTCCTGTGGTTGTTCGTTTCCGTGGAGTACGGGGAAAAGTCGTCCGAGTTCCTTTGGGAAAAAAAGAACAAGCATACCAGTGAAATAAAGGAGTGAGAATTTGCTGATGAGAAAAGAACAGAACTTAAAGGCAAAGGGAGAACATATAAAAGTCGATACAGGCATGCTTCCTTTTATTGCACTTTGCAGATATTGTGGTTTTTTTTAACAAATTGGAGGCTTGCCGCAACCCTGTGTTGAGCGAGTCATTTTTCTATCAGCACTTGCTCTCTTTGTGTCCCTGTGTCACGTCTCTGTACTTCATGCAATATTTCAAACTTTTTCATTATTATTCGTCTGGTTCTCCTTTTTAGCAATAAGACATTTTTAATGAAGGCATGTACTGAGTGGTGCGGTAGCCTAGAGGTGGAGCTCTGGCCTCACAATCGGGAAGCTGTGAGTTCAATCCTAGATAGAGGCTGATATTTCTTTCTCTGGGCACAGTGAGAATATATCTTCTGCAAAACTCCACATGGGCGACAAGAAAGGCATCCGGCCAGGAAACAGCTCCATTCAGTTGCCCCGACTCCACCCCACAAGGGATTACGAGGTCATTAAACAACTGGGGGGGAAAATAGGGCATGTACTGTACATCGTTTGTTTAGACATATTGTACACATAATGCAGGAAGTCCTCAACATACCACCATTCATTTAACAGCAATTCTAAGTTACAATGGTGCTGAGAAAAGTGACTTATGACTGGGCCTGGCACTTACAATCACCACAGCACCCCTGCAGTCACATTATTACAGTCAAGGCGCTCGGCAATCGCCGTATGTTTACAATGGTTACAGCATCCGACAGTTACGTGATTGCCATATATGAACGTCCCAGGAGCTTCCGAAAAGCAGTCAATGAGGGAAGCCAGATTCACCTAACGTCCACAAGTGATTTGTTTAACGACTGCAGCACAAAAAGGTCATAAATTCAAGCACAGTTCATTTAACTGCACCACTTAGCAACAGAAGTTCCATTCCCAATTGCCACCATAAGTTGAGGGCTACCTGTAGTGTACATAACATAAAAGCGTAACTTTTATGAGCACTGGGAAACAAAAACAAATTCCTGTGACTTGTTTAATTGTGATACTCGCTTTATTGTGGTAATTGGAGCTGAGCCAACCAATATCTCTGAGGTATGCTTGCATTTTCTATTCCAATCTCTAATATCTGTTCTGTAATACGTATCACAGACCAGAGAAAACTTTTTGTACCACATTAGATGCATTCCTTGTCTTAATTCTCTTTAACAGATGTTTAAAAGACTAGAGTTTTTAATACACGTACAATTTATGAAGAGCAAATTTAGAAGGAAAATTTAGGAAAGTGAGATACAGATAGAATAAAACTCTTTAGAGGTTTGTTATTTTGAAAGAAAATAGACAACACGTGAAACTTTTCATTCTTCCTTCTCCTTATATAGATGGGAGACTAACCATAATTTGGGCTCCTGCTTTCTGTTTGTATCATCCAAGCCCTTAAATTCATAGTATCAACTCTGAAGTTGGCCTGGCTGAGGCCCATCTTTGGGGCTTCAGTGTTGCCACAATGGAGCTGAGGGATGGGGAAGGGGGAATAGAGATGGCTGGGGTTTTGTAGCCAAAACAAAATACTTTCTCCTGGGAACCAAGGACATTCCCACAGATGGCTGAAGAAAGGAGGAATGAAGTTACCAAGCAACTGGACGACATCTTAATTGGACCACATGACTGATTGTTTGAGGAAGGGCTGAAACTTTTAATTAGGTAAAAACCACAGGAACTTTTAAAGTCGGTTTTGAACAGTCGGTGCCAATAAAACTGTTCTTTAAGGAATCTACCTGCCTCAGAGTTCTGTTTGCTATAGTATATTACTTGTAACCCTGACACATAGTCCACATGGGCTCTTACCCAGCGAGGCCACATTCCTGGAGTTTTCCAGCATGACTTCTCCATGAAGAGCCTTTTGGTGAGGATCCAGATGAGCCCATTCCTCCTCAGAGAAATCCACAGCCACCTCCTCGAAAGATACGAGACCCTGAAACAGGAAACCTATACTCCCAATTAACAGAAAAAGGTCTGTTTGTTCACAAACCCTGAAAAATGGGCCTTTGAAATTAATTAAACAAGGCAACATTTTTGTAAGAAAAATTAACAGCAGACTTATTATCAACTTGATTGTTTCCCGTGGGAATTTCAAGACCATATGATGACAGTAACCTCCATTTTCTTCTAGATCCACTGACAGATGGGTTCTGGACACTCCACCCGTCACTGGTTCATGTCCTTCCTGGTGTTTGCAGGGAGGGGGCGGGGAGGTCCTTCCTTTCTGACGTATCAGCGCTATGCACCAGTCCCCAAGGTCAATACAACACCCTCATGATCTCTTTGCCTGCCGTCAACAGGCACACAAAACACAACCCATTTTCAGCTTCTCCCTGGTTTCCTGGGGAATGTGTTCTTGGTCAGAGCCACTGGTGGGCTGGAAGAAAAGAATTAAGCTGCTACCTGAGCTGGCGATCCAGCTATTCTCTCAGTGCCAGCAGAAAAAGGAGACGCCCCTACAAAGACCAGCGACATCATTCTGTTCCCTACGAGGGAGACAAAAATGGCAGAAGCAAAACTAGTAAAATGTGGGGAGATACCGACCCAAGAGGACCCACCAAAGAAGAGAGAACTAGAGACTCTCTGGGAAACTTTAGGTGGCTTGGAAGGAATCCCTCTTGTCAACCNATGACCAGCTGTCTGCAAAGAATATCAATCCTTCCATTGCCCACTATCCTATCAGAGCTGAAGAAGCTTCTTGGATGAGAAGCGAAAGGAAGAAAAACCAGGAAGTCCAGTTTCCACTGGGAGGGGGGGCGGGGAGTGGAGCACCTTTGGACCAGTCTGGGTCTTGTGCACAGGCACCGCACTGCAATACCACGGATGACCGCTGGAGCTAAAGAAATCGCCGGGAATCCAAACGATCGCTTGTAAATCCCAACTTAACCGGATCCGCAGCGCCCCCTGGTGGGCGGGCAGAGCAGCGCAGCCCCGATCCGTGCCCTTCTGCAACGCAGCGCCCCCGGGCCTTCCTACCGCGGGGGCCTGCGCGCTTCTTGCGGAGCCGGTGCAGCACTTTTGCGGGCGGCTTCTTCTCGCCCGGCTTCCCTCCCCGGGCGATGTCAAAGCGCTTTGCCCAGCTGTTAGGGGCGAGGGTTTGCGCGCTCTGCAACCCACCCTGCCAGAGGGTGCAAACGCCGATGCCGCCCCTGCCCAGACTTCCCCAGACAGGAGTGGGAGGGGATCCTTCGCGGGCCACGTGACCCTTTCCTAGGATTGCAGGCGGGGATTGCAGCCCATCGCTTTTAACTCTTTCCCCCCCACAAATACGGGACTGAGGGTGGGGAATGCCCGCTTCGGTAATCGTACCTGTGTCCCGGAGCCCGCATGCTGGGAGATGCAGCTGGGATCGTGCCCTTAGGAGCATTTGGGCTGGGGGCGTCTTTTCGAGCTCTCCCCGACCACCACCACGCCCTTCTCATCAATGCCACTTCCTTCCAAATGATGGGCGAATCAAGAGGGGGTTTCTTTTTGCTAGAGGGGCTGAGGTGCCAAGGGAAAATATTGAAAAATGAAGGGGAGGGGGCGGACTTTTTAAAGGCTCCGGAGTAAGCAGCTGTCGCTTACACTTTGTAAAACCTTAGTAGTTAGATCACACCTGGAACACTGCAACCAGTTTGGGTCATCACCTTTATTCTATTTATTTATTCATTTAGTTTGTCAAACATGTACGAGATAAGTACACAATGTACTTATAATTGTACAAGTGGAAGTATAAACATGGACATGAGCACAGGAAATGGATACAAATGAATGGGAACAGTAGGATAGGGTCAGTAGGCTTGTTGGTGTGCTTATGCACGCCCCCTTTACGGACCTCTTAGGAACGGGGTGAGGTCCACGCTAGACAGTTTAAGGTTAAAGTTTGAGGATGTAACAAGGGAGTCGGGTAGAGCATTCCAGGCGTTGACCACTCTGTTGCTGAACTCGTATTTTCTGCAATCGCGTTTGGACCGGTTGACCTTGAGTTTGTATCGATTGTTTGCCCGTATATTATTGCGGTTGAAGCTGAAGAAGTTGTTGACAGGTAGGACAATTTTGTGTACTACGCTTAGGTCAGATCTCAATCGGCGTAGTTCTAGGTTGTCCAAGCCCAAAATTTCAAGCCTGGTGGCATAAGGGATTCTATTGTGAGCAAAAAAAGAAGTTGAGGGAAAAGTGCAAAGAAGAGCAGCTAAGATGATCGGAGGCCTGGAGACTAAAACATACAATGGACGGTTCCAGGAACTGGGCCTGGCCAGTCTAGAGAAAAGAAGGACCAAGGGGGGGACATGAGAGCAGCAGTCCACTATTTGAGGAGCTGCAACAAAGAAGAGAGGGGTCAACTCATTTTCTAAAGCACCAAAAGGCAGGACAAGAAACAATGGATTGAAAGTCTGTTGAGATTCTCAGTCATCCAGGTCGTGGTTATCCAAAGGTGCTTTTTCAGGAGGCAACTGGACTTTCTTGTTCTTTTGAAGAGGTTTCACTTCTCATCCAAGAAGCTTCTTCAGCTCTGATGGGATAGGGGGGAATGGAAGGATTAAATTCCTTGCAGACAGCTGGCCATTTGCATCCTTTTAGAGGTCGTTGAAGCACTTGGAGGTTTATCTCTGTCCTTAGGGTCACTTGAGTGGTGCTCCTGGTAGTGTAGTGCTCTAGTAGAGTAGTTCTCCAGACTACAAGAACCAGAAGCACCACTCAAGTGGCCCTGAGGACACAGATAACCTCCAAGTGCTTCAGTGACCCTCTAAAAGGATGAAAATGATCAGCTGTCGGCAAGGAATATAAATCCTTCCATTCCCCACTGTCTTGTCAGAGCTGAAGAAGCTTCTTGGATGAGAAGCGAAAGGTCTTCAAAAGAAGAAACAAGAAAGTCCAGTTGTCTCCTGAAAAAA